GGGCCCCACACCTTTGTGACTGGCTGCATCAGTCAGGGCCTAGACTGGAAATCCATTTCCCTCCTAGGGAAATTCGGCCTCTGGGTCTCTCAATCTAGCTTTACTATATGAAGTCACACACCCAGTGGGTGGTTTCTTATGTCTATTTTCAATGTGGTTAGAAACCTGAGAGGAGGACGGATGTGATTAGAACCTTCTAAACCCCATCAGATGGCTTTGGAATACCTCCCCTTATTTCAAAGTTCAGGCAAAAGGAAATGGGCTCTGCATTTAAAGCCAAACACAAGCATGAAGGAAAAGCAGAAATTGGCCTCTCTTGAAAAGTAAAATAATATAGGTCTAGTTAACTATTCCGTTTTCATCAATGTGTTTAGATATTTCTGTGGTAGTTCACATCATGAATGAATAAACGCCATCTAAAAGTCCTATGCAGGTTTTCTGTAGCTAACTATCCTAGGGGCTTTACAACACCAGCACGTCACTACAACGCCAAATCCCTTGTGTTCACCGATATCAGCAACACAAGTAACACAAGAGACCAAGAGAATAGGAAAAACCAAGTAAAGGAAAATAATTCTTGATTTTTTACTTTGACTTCAAACTTGGTTGACTAACAACTTCCATCTCAGGGGCCATTAAATATATATAGATATAGCAGGTGCAGATGCTATATCTACGTGCAACAGTGATACTTTTATTGGTGCTAGAAGTGCTGAACTACTGAAGTGGTCACATCACTTCCAGCTTATACCGTGTTGGGGATTTATTAACTGTGTGATTTAAGCCTCATGTCCATGTATGTGTGTGTGTGTGTATGCCTTGTCTATAGCCAACACTCCACTAGGGTAACTTAAAACAAAATAGGAATTTATTTACAATAGCAAAGATGTCAAAAATAACAGGAACAATATATAACAAATCCAAGAATTGTTTTATGAAAAAGGCAAACAATACATACACAAAAGATAAAACAAAATCCAAAAGGGCAAACTTAATTTTGACCTTATCTAAACAGCTGCAGAATGTGGCAAAATAGTTTTTCAGATATGAATTACTTAAGTCATGTTGGGCCAATTCAACACACACTTTTCAGCCCTTCTTTTTTACTTGGTGAATCTTCCTCTGAATTCTATTTACCTTTGGGGAATGTAACTTTGGGGAGGTCATACAAGATTTATGAAATACATACAGGCTATTTACATGTGTACTAAAAGATATATTTATTGGCTGACAGGCTCACATTTCAAAAGGACTAAAGTGATATGAAAGTGAGTCCCATTTCACCATCACTGCTTCCTTCTGTGTGTGTGTGTGTGTGTGTGTGTGTCTTGTCTACAACACAAAATGAATGCACCAGTAATTTTTTAAGTTCCTCAAGTGCTCTAAAACAGCACTTCCCAAACTTGAGCATGCATCAGAATCACTTGGAGGAGGTGTAAAGACACAGATCACTAGGTCCCACACCCAGTTTCTGATTCAGTGAGTCTGAGGTGCGGCTGAGAATTTGCATCTTTAACAATGTCCAGGTGATTATAATGCTGCCGCTGCTGCCAGGCTTTGAAAACCACTGCCCTGAACTATCACCCTTTCAAGATTTCAACTGGTCAAGCTTTTCCTTCCATGAATCCTAGAATTTGTGAGAAATAAAGGAAATTGTTAATACTGAGATTCCCAGAGTACTGAGCAGTACACTATCTGACTGGTTGGCATCACAGACCAGCAAGATGTTATCTGTCAGGTGTTTTACTACAATTAAGTTTTTCAGCATGGTGTGGTTTTGCCTTCTTTATGGCTCTGGACAGTGCCATTCACCATGTTTTCTTGATCGTTTACCTCAAATTTTGATTATTTAGTGTTTCAACTATTAGGGAAACACTTGTTCCAACAGTTAAATAACTGCAGGATCTCATCTTTAAAAATCAAAGATGACTCAAATCTATTTCCTTATTTTCTTCTGAGTCCTGATAACTTTTACCAAACTTCCGATTTTTATTATAACAATGATCATTCTCTAGTATGTTAGCGTCTACTAAAGCCCTCCAAACTGGGCACAAAGGGGTAACTCTAGGGCAGGGCTTCTGCTGTGGGGCTGGGCTGTGGACTGATGCTGAAATAAGTGCTCTCAAAAAACACTTCATGCATGGGAAAATTTATCTCAGGGGAATTAGAGATGCTAATAAAACAAATCCTTTATGAAGATTAAAGAAAAAATGAATTTCAAGGACATGCTCATCAAAGGACTCACCAATCACCTCTTAACTTCTCTGAAATGTTACTTGCAAATTCGCAGAACTGAAATATTATTAGTATTTAAATCCAAGTCACAAAATTCAAAGCGATCAAGCATTTCGCATTCCACTGCTGCATATAAGGAATTAAGAAATGGGGAAATGAAAATAATCCACTGCTTTTGATGTTTATTAGGTTTACAAAAACTGTACATTTTTTTTCTTAAGAAAAAGCATTAACTTAGTACTGGTATCAAATAGACTAAACATTAACAGGAAAATATTCTGATTTTTATTTTTGCACGTTATTCTCAAGTACACAATTACAATAATGTCACACATCCCTATATGATTTTCTTTTTATGTATTTTACCTTTTTTACAAAGTGTACAGAGGGAGGGACATACAATATTTAAGGATATTTCTACAGAACAATAACTTATATTATGTCCTTGTAAAAATCTGTACCTCTTTAAAACATTTAACTGAAACAACCATTTTTTTAGCTTTGCTAATCAAAATTGTTTTAAGAATTAAAACTAGGTTGTAACTAATGTCAGTTCATAACAATGACTACTGTTTTTTTCTCTTTATACAGACAAATACGTTTTACCATATTCACTTGACCAAACCCTTAAATACCTTTTAAAGGTTTCAATATTGTGCTTTAAAAAGAAAAGAACTGTGTATGATTCCAGACCATGTAAGAGAAATATAAAGTGTGTAAATTGTTGTGTTCTTTATCTTTCAGTTTATTTAAAAAAATATACATGACCGATTTATATTTTCTGTATTAATTTTTACGGATGTTTTAAAATCAATAAATTTCCACTTTTGTTTAAGTGTTTTCTTTTACATTATTTCTGGGAAAAATAAAAATTAAGGGAGATTTTAAAGGTTCTCACAAAAAAACAGACAGAGCTTTCAATAGTACTGCAGGGCAATGAATCACACGATGGTTAAGTTACTTTAAAAAAAAAAAAAGCACATTACGGGGGCCAAGAGGGCACAGGCATTCCTATGCCTTGGCTTTGACTGGCATTCAGGATGGAGTTATACCAGCCTAAAGCACTTGATTTAGAACTGGACTAAATCAACCTAGCACTTCAGAGGCTTGCCAGACACCAAATATTAGATTTCTAACCCTATAAATATAACTCTTGCATACAAATATCAACAGCAAAGAGAAAGATGAAAGCTAAAAACCTAATAGCACAAAGGGGATGGATCACCATGATGAACTGGCAAGGCAGCTAACAAGTGGGGAGAAAACTCCCAAATCTCCCATGATGTACCAGATACTCATGTGCTGACAGCCAATTTAAGGGATCCCAAAACCTGTTTTCAGTTCTCCAAGATTCATCTTATAACCAAATTCTAACTAACCACGTTCATTTTATGAATTTATGACTCTGATTCAGAACTCTCTGTTAAGAAGTGTTAACTTGCAAAGAAAAACGAAACTGTGAAAGACTTGGTGACGTCCCAAATAAGGCCTCAGATCTTCCTCATGCACTTAAAACACACACCTTTATCTTCTAATCAAAGCCAGCTTGAGTGTTAAGTTTTTGAAAGGTTGCCAGCTGTAACGAAGAAGTAACAGAGCAGGCTGAACTTGCCCAGTGTAAGTAGTAATTAGCACCCATTCTGTGGTACATGAAGCAACTGCTTCCTTAGTCCCCTCACTTGGGGACACAGAATCCCTTCATGGGCTTCTCAGAGAGAACTGAGGGAGTTATGTCTGGATTCTCATTAGCTTTTCTGAAAAATATAAAGGCATGGAGCTGAAGTTATATGAAAACATTCTATCTAGAAACATCTTAACTTCTATTTTTCAGTTACCAAAGATATTTAAAAGAAAATACCTTTACTCTTTAAAAATACTAGTGTCCTTATTTTCCTTCTAATTCTTCACCTGAGTAGTCTCTCCAAAGAGCATGATTTACAAAATGCTCTCTCATGCATCCCTGCATCTTTCATGTTATTGTAAATTTAATACTTTTCATTATAGATTTTCAACAACTACTACTTGGGGTTGTGTGTATAAATATGTAAAATAAGCAATACACACAGATACATGTTATATATATATGTGCATATACATAATTCAGGGTACATTTACATATATAAAGTTGCAAAAGATCCTACAAGCCACGAATTACCTCTAGGAGATTCCAAATGCAGTCCTCAGTAAGTCTCATCTGTAGCACACAACCATTCCAACACAAAACAGCAAAGACAAAATACAACAGGATCAAGCAAAAGTTTTCAATAAAGTTTTCTAAAAGTTTGCTATGCTGACAAGAGATGTAAATACTCCAAAGAAAGCACCCCCCAAAGTATATTTTGTCTGCTGAACAAAACGAAAGGTAAACACAAACCCAGCCACTGCTCTTTACTCAGCGATGCCAGGGACACAAAAGCTCAAATGGAAACTTTCATCGTCATGTGGTCTGAAAATATTAAAACAAGATGAGTAAATGACTCCCATGTTAGGATAATTAGACCTGACCATAAAATCTCCCATTTATATTAGTAGATGTCTCTGACAATTTTATTGTGAGAAATTTATGGGAAAAAAAAGTAAGTCAACATGAGTACTTTCAGAGTTACCAATCTAAAATTACCTTAAGTTAAATGGTCTTAGAAGAGTACCATCAAGGTAAGCAAGGTAAATATTTAAATAAATATAAAACTTCTAAGATAGAAAAACTCAGTATAGAATCAGGGATTACTTTATTAAAAGCTTGTTGCTGCAACTTGCTTGTTGCTGCAACTTGCTTGTTGCTGCTTTTCCCATTTATTAAACAAACTGAATAGAATTCAGAACACACTATTGAACAAATGGTAAAAAAAAAAAAAGTCAACTAGAAGCAATAATTCTATTTGTACACAGCATAAATCAATATACAGTATTGTATGTGAACGAGACTGTGGCTTTAAAATGAATTTTCTGCTTCAAGGCCAACATGTCTACAAAAGTCTGTAGAAGTATTGTTAGGGCAGGCCAACTTCTTTATGATGTCGCATTATGTGCTGGTTCTTTTCTGAAGGTCTTCGGAACCCTTTCTTGCAGTACTCACAACGGTGGGGATAGTCTTTCGTATGAATGGAGATAACGTGCCGTTTAAAGCCTGAGGCATCTGTAGTGCTATACTCACAGTACTCACACTGATATACTTTTCTACCACTGTGTGTCTTCATATGCTTTTTAAGCTCATTCTGTTGCCTAAATCCCTTTCTACATCTCTTACACCTAAATGGAAGATCTTTTGTGTGAACTGACAGAATATGGCGACTTAGAATGAACGGATCTGCAATCTTAAAGTCACAATGTCTACACTGGTGCATTTTTTTACCCTTGTGGGCAGCCACATGTTTCTTCAGTTCTGAAGGCCTGTGAAAGCCTTTATCACACATATCACACTTATGGGGGTAGTCCTTTGTGTGAACTGAAATTATGTGTCGTTTCAAATCGCTTGAGTTCGAACTCTTGTGGTCGCAATGCAAACACTGGTGTGTTTTGCTTTCTTGGTGGATAAGAGCATGTTGCTGCACCTCTTTGGTATCTGAGAAAGTCAGAAGACAAATGTCACACTTGAATGGCATCTCTTTACTATGCTTAGTTTTTACATGCGTTTTCAAGTTAGAAGAGTCTGCAGACCTATATTCGCAGTACTGGCATTGGTACGGCTTCTCCCCAGTATGGATTCGCATGTGCTTTTTGAGCTCTGATGGGTGACGAAAACCTTTACCGCACTCCACACATATATGAGGAAAGTTCTTGCTGTGGACCGCCAAAAGGTGGCGATTCAACAACCCTTGTTCAGCTGTCTCATATTCACAGAATTTACACTTGTGCATTTTGTTGGCTCCTTTTTCCTTATGCACCATTTTGTGAGTAAACAAAGCCCCAGCATGAGAGAAATGCTTCCCACATTCGTCGCACTCGATGGCCTTCTCCGCCTTGCTGGTCAGCTTGTGGCTCTCCAGGTGGTTGTGTAAACTTATCTTCTTGTTGGTAGTGTAATCACAGTCAGTACAGCGGTACTTCTTCTTGGTAAGGTGTTCAGGATGGTTTTTCATGTGCCTTTTCAAAAAACCTCTCGACTTAAACTTTTTCCCACAAATCATGCAAGGATAGACAGTCAAGGGATGTCCATCAGGGCCAATAATTATTGCTAAGAAAGAAAAAGAAAGGAGCATGAGTGATCAAACCAAGTTCTGTTTTGGTTTCTTCAAGAATTTAAAGCATGTGTTCTGAACATTATTGGGCAAGTACTCCTATGTTAGGCTATTTGCTACTTAGCATCATTCCTTTTACAATTTTTCAACGTAAGAGATACAGCAGCCTCATCAAAAAGAGAACCTGGTCTGGAAACTCCATTCAGTATGACTGTACCAACCTCGCTCCCTCCAGTTTAAAAAAAAAAATAAATGAATAAATATGTAACTTCTACCAACTAGTGACTGCAGCTGTATCAACTGAGAAACTAGTGGGAAATTATTGATAAAAACAAAGTTTCATAATCACAGTTTCTGCTTTGGTTATTCTAACAATATAACTTATGTCAATTTAAATATGTCTACAGAATTTTAATATGCAAATCAGCATACAAGAATAGACAAGAATATGTCACAAGAACTGAAGTACTTGCCTTGCTGCTCTGTAAAGTATTCCTGCTTTATGCTGACATAATCAGATTCTTTAAATATATTTGGTTTTTAAAAAAAGTTAATGCTTCCAACATATTTGAGGGATTTCTTCTCATATCCACATAAAAATCACCCGAGTTTTGAATTTTTTCATCCATGTTTTATCTGCTCCCCCTCTTTTTCTTTTTTTAATCCAAGGAAATCATTCATGAATATCACTGAATTCTTAAAATTATATTTTCAAATTTAATACACAAAAGCTCTATGTGGTCTAGCAGCTAAAATGTCATCACAACACCTTTGGGGATACATACTAGAGTTTCATCTGAGAGCTCGCAAAGCACGCTGCGCTGTGGAACTCATGTGCCCTCACCTGTTTGGTACTGCCTGGAATCAGGTCTTCTCCTTTTCTTTGGTTTTTGTTTAGCCAGTCTGCCAAGCCCAGCAGACTCATCTATGTGCAAGAGGGCACTTGCAGTGCCATTCCGGTTTTCAATTCCATCAGAATTATTACCTAACAATGTGCATTAAAAAACAAAATTATACAGTATTATAAATTATAAAGAATTAGGGACTCTTTATTAACTATAACAACGAAAGTTAGCCATGATACTCATGAATGACAGAAATTCCCCATTCTAGGTAATGGGTTTTATGACCACATTTATTATAGCAAGACCATAGGAAATGCCTAGCTTCCAAATCTAAAAAACACATGTCAGCATTTTGCCCCATGGCCATGGACTCCCTTGTTGTCTCCCAAAATTGTAAAGTCATGGGCCACATATAATCAAGATGAAAAGTTTCAGCTTGAAAGCCTGTGTACTTCTTGCAGTACTTCCTTCTACGTAATATACACATGAAGGAAATTCCTGTTAAAAATAAAGACAAAAAGTAGACTTTATAATCTTCCTCTACTCTTATGCAAATCAAATAACCCTTACAGGGTACTGGTATTTCAGATTTCTGAAACCTAAGACCACAGAAACCGTTTTCAATCGTGAATTCATGTTCAAGAACCAATTCAATCGCAAGAGCTGCAACACGACTTACCGTAAGCTGCTGCCCATGCTATTGGCATGAAAGTTTTGATTTCATTGTCATCGATTTGCTGTTCATGTGCAGCAGCGGCTGCCGCTGCGGCAGCAGCATCCTCCTCTCCTACAATCACTTCCATATAAACTTCGTCTGCAATTTCTGCAACATCTGAGTAGAAAATTATAGAAACTTGTGTGACCAGGTTTACAGAGATTGCAGGAAAAGATATTTTCACTTGAATTCAGTTAACAGACAAGTAGAAAGAAGGTTCACATGTTATATACCTAGAACATAGCTTTCACGTAGTAAGCACTCAATAAATATTTACTGAATGAATCTTACATTTCTTGGCTTTTACCATAATGTGCTTTTTTAATAATCTTATTTTTCCATATTCTTTTCCATTATGGTTTATTATAGGATACTGAATATAGTTCCTTAATTTGTTTTTAAAGCAACATTCTAAGCACACATAATAAGTCACTGATGTTTCCCTTGAAATACAGCAGAATAATAATCTCTACAATAATCCTACTTGTTTCCTTCAGATACTGGCCATATATTTTTTAAAAAGAAAAAACAAAAAAGCTACAGGAACATAAAATTCTCTCCCACAAAAAGGCCACCTACTTACTTAAATCTTCATCTTCTTGCTGAGAGTCGTTGACAGTCATATAAACCATCTTTTCCCTTGGCACACGAATACTGCTATTTTGATCAAGTAGTTCAACTCCATGATCATTCTCAGGCTCACTCTCCACAATGTCTACAGTGCCACCTATCAGACAAGATGAAGGCTCCAAGAATTTATGTGAAGACTTCATTTCCACCTGTTTCACTTACTACATTTTACATACTTTTCTACTGCTATATTGGAACCCTTGCTTAAAATGTTATCTTCAGAAAAGATTACAAATATTCTCAGTCTAAACCACCAAAAAATAATTAGGTTGAAGTGTTTGATCAGGAGGTATACTATGCTGAAGGTTTCCTCTTACCTAAGTCATCCTCTCCAGGATCAGCTTTAAAAATGTACACCTTGATGACTTCAGGGCAAGTGCCATCCACTTTACAAGGATCGATTTCCGACTCTGCATCCATGGTCATTCCAGAGGAACCATCGTGTTCTATTTTGCCAGCATCATCCACTAAAAAGGCAGGAAATACATGACAAATAATAATAGCAGATATTTAAATAAAAGTTACCATTTTCAAAAGCCCTTTTTACAAATATAATCTCTAACTTGATTCACATAAAATTGGATGATTTTACCTAAAGAAGTACACACGCAGCACATGGTGAGAAATGTGGCTGACTGCTAAGCTAGAGCCGGGTCACGGAGGGCTTTGTAGAACCAGGCAGAAGGGCTCATGCTTGACCCTGGTAGGCAGGAGGTTTTTCAGTCTGGTCAGATGTCACAATCTCTCAGGGAACTTAAAAACACAGGCCCTCGCCAAGCAGTTCTACAGAATCAGAATTAGCAGGGGTGGGGCCTGATAGACAGATTTAAAGGAACCCTGCCCCAGGGATTCTGATCAGCAGTTTGAGAACTTCTGCTGTAGGTGGTGGGAGACTCTTAGGCAGAGCAGTGACAAGGTCAGATCACCATTTCTGCTACACCATGCTGGCCTTGAGAAAGGTGGATTCAAAGGGATCAAAACATAAAGCAGAGATATCACTTTTGAGTCTACTGCAATAATGCAGGTAACAGGTGACAAGGCCTCAAAAATTAGGACAGAGGTAGTATGGATGGGGAAGAGGGCTACACTTGAGTCGTATCTTAGGACTGAAATCGCAGAACCTGGTGCCCAACTGAAAACTGAACATGACAAAAGGAGCCAAGGATAACCATGGGGTTTCTGATATGGGTGACTGAATGACTGGGGGAAGAAATGGAAGGAAATTAGAGAAAGTATCTCTCTTCTGCATGTTTAATTAATTAACTTAAGGTCCAAGGGTAACATCCCTAAAAGCTCTAAGAGCCAGTACCTGTCCCTATCCCTCCGTGATCACAGGACTTTTTGCTTGTTTCTTGCAGAGTATACGATTCACTGTGTTGTCACTAGGGGTGTGTTACCTCCGTCTTTCCCATTGATAGAGCAGAATCTGTATCTCAATTATTCAGTTTTTTAAGACAGAGTCTGGTGATAGCAGACACTCAGAATACTGATGAATCAATGATTCAAGGAATGGCTGAGAAGTGAAGTCAGCTGCTTGATACTCAAATCTGAAAGCTGAAGGCTGACCCACAGATTTGGGAGCCATAGGTTCCATGTTAACTAAGCCTTGAG